AAGGTTAACAGCCTAACCTGAAGCCCTAAAGCTGTAACTCTGTTTGATGAGATCCTTTGGCAGGCATCATTTCACGTGAACAAAAGAAAACTTAATGGTTTAAATCAGATCAAGGCTAGGATATGGCTTTTGCATTATATTAAACTTCATTGCAGCAGGTATTTCAGTAATTCTGAAAGAGTCTACAGAATGAATGAGTCTGCTCTTCATTACACAACAGAAAGGAACATCTTTTTTTCCTGTACAGAACTGATTCTGGTCCTTCAGGCAACTGGATTTTCTTCTGTTCTACTCAAAAACTGTAGGACAGACAATAATACAGTTTTTAATCTTCCTGCATGTCTTGGACACAATTTTTAAATGATTTTCTGCCAATCCTCTTCTACTGAGAGCTTTCACATGGTTCACAGCTAATATAATCCGACATTTTAAAGGGGATGGATTACAGAGAATTATCCTCCTGGTCATATTAGAAGCGGTGAAATGAACCTTTTGATTTTCTCAGATACAGTTTTCTTTCAAAGCAGCGGCCTGGAAACAACTGTTCCCTCATGGTCAGATTGTGCCTTTGGTCACGCTACCACTTGAGTAACTGAGAGGAAGAGACACCTTTAAGGAATATTTTTCCCTGTTTCCCTTCACTTCAGAAGCAGTGAAAACTTTCCCCCCCCCCCATAAAACAGCATTGATGCCATCATATAGTTCACTTTCTCCTGCTGTCTTTCCTGTCTTTTTTGACTGTAAGTTGATTCGGCCTGGCACTATAGTATGCTGGGTTTACACAGAGATTAGGTACAGTGGGACTCCATTTTTAGCTGGCCCTATTTTAACTTCGTTAATAACAAAAATAAATAGCAGTAATTTGCTATTCCTGTCCCCCTCTATCTCCCTCTATCTCCCTCTTACACATCAAAGGTAAGGGAGAGAGTCAGAGCTTCATCAGTTCTTCATTTGTTCTTCCTCCTTCTCCAATCCATACGCTTGGCATGAAGGAGAGGAATAAAGATGTCAAATAGTTCCTCTCTTTCTTACACCTAAATCATGTTCAGGTAACTCACATGCGGGTATTAGTGTGGATTTTACTGCTCTGTGGAAATGTGTACTGTAAAGCACAATCTAGTCTTTGGTACCTTGTTCCATTTGCTGGCAAGAAACAGTCTCTCAATGTCAAGACCACTACTAAACATTTCGTGCAAGTGGTGGCCCAAGTAAGTTTGGCCAAAAGGCAAAGCAACGCTGTTTACATGCAGCGGAAGTACTTGGTGAGAAAGATTTCTGGAGAAAGTTGCACAAATGTCTCCTTCCAATTTCTGGCCAAAAGGCAAGAACAGCCTTCATGCTCTTGCTTTCATGGGGTATTGTACTGACACGTACAGCCCTCTGCTTTTCCTTTGTTTAAAAAGTCGTGTTACAGTATTTACCTTTGACAGCTATTTATTGTTTTGTCCTGCTTTCCTGACTGATTGCAGACACAGATGTTTCAGTGAAAATGATAACACTGGCGTATTACTGTCAACATTCTGGTTTCTTCAGTCAAGGAAGGTGGAAAACACATCTTTGCTGACCTTCATATAATAATAAAAATAACAATGAAGTCAGCGTCCAAGCCACATGAACAACATTTTTTGACAGTGTGAATTACTTCAAGAAGCTGTTCCAGAGGTTACATAAGCTTAGTAGTCTAAGCCATTTCACCATGAACCTATATATCTCAACCACATGCAAAGGGCCCAGCTGTCTAGTAAGAAATAATAGATTTTTGCACTAAGAGACACAGGATATTACCCAACTAATACAGGATATTGCCTAATTTCTATAAAACCAGTTATGGTATCAAAGGTGAAGAGACTAAGGAAGTAACTGAACAGTGCTCTTCCAAACTTTGAAAAATAACACTCTTTTTTAAAGTCATCCTTTACAAAGATCATTACACTGATAATCTGAAGCTGTTCCACAACTACTTGGTGCAATGTAATAAAATAAAAGCCTTACAGTCTTCGGTCCTAAAAAAACAGACTGCTGCTCCAGTCAATAAAGAGTCTTAGCTAGCCATCTCAGATAGATCTCTTCAAACTCAAAGTCAGTTTCTGTAGAACTGCTCAGGTTTTATAATAGTGTAACGGAGTATATAATCTAGGCCTAGTCTGTCGTGTTGTTAATGTACCCACTTAAACCAAGCACTTATGTTTTCATACTACTGTATTCCCCTTGAGAATTTAAAACCCTTATAATTTGCTTTGTAAATCATTTCTAGTTTCTTACGAAAACATCCTACTGCATTTGCTCCACTGGCAGAAGTTCCAAACTTACGCACTTGGTGCTTAACATATTTCTAGGCATGCATGTGTGCACAAACAACTGCCAGCTTATTGTGTATTCAGTACAGGACGAAAACATAAACTACACCAAACTGCTTGTATATAGCCAAAATAGGCACCCATCACTGTTTGTGTTCAGCAACTAACAAACCCAGAGAAAATCAAGCCCAATATGCATTCAGAATATGGTGATTTCCAACAACTGTATAAACGAATGTTAATGTTAAAAGTTAAGGAAATAAGATTTCCTGGTCTCTTGATCAAAATGATTGTTCTCCACAAAAAAAAATTAGATGGGGCAATCCCTGGAATGGAAACAGAAGATCTTCCATTCTGGAGTCTCAGATGTACTACTTCATAAAGATTTATAGTGGTCACAAGCACCTGTTTTATAATTGCTCAAGTATAATATTTGATTTGGACAAGTGGAGACGGATTTAATACAGCAGCTCTTTGTGCATATAGCAGAAGGAAATGCAGCTCATCTGTCGAACACACAGCCCTGCACTTTCTTGCAACATGGGGCAGAAGATGATGAACTGGCTCAGCCAATACACCTGTGTGCAACTGACCTTGGATACGACAAGCTATGCTGTCATTTTCTGCCAGAAGAATTAATCTGCATAAGGATCTGTTTGTAAAATTAAACATCCACACTGTATTTAAAATCTATTATGAGTCAATTTTTTTCTGCTACAGAATTTTTGCATCAGTAGTTATTTCTTGGAGATCAGAGTCTAGCTGAAGGCTGCTTAGATGCAACAGACAGGATAACACCGACTTGCTCACCTCCAGGTGATGTTCTTCAACTGTGCCAGAATTCTGTTTGTGCAGCTACTGTGCTGCTTTTAAAGCGGATGAAGAGTGAAATCCCTTCATGATTGATTAAGTTTGTTGTTTTGCTTCTCTAGGTCAAGCATATTTTTCTCTGGACTGATCTGGACTAGAGAATTCTGGGGTTCCTGCAGATTATCAAGACTGTTCTCACATACCACCAAGACTGTTTGCGAAGTGATCCTTAATAAACAAGGAGACAGGAGACCCTGATAGACTCCCAAGTACAGTTCTCAACATAATTCATGTCAGTATTTCTCGATCACCACATACTGGATCAGCCTTGAGGAAAAGCACTAAGCAGAGCTGTTTCATAATGAACAAGCTACTTCCTGCCTCAGGGGAACACTGCAGTATCCTGAAGGTCTTACTGCCCATATAAATCATGCTGTATGCATGATGCCAGGTAACCAGGATGCAGAGGTGATTCCTCTGCTTTCCCTTTGGTTGATGAGACATCTCCATTCAAGTAATTCTCCTGCATTGCCAGGATCTGCCTGAACTCAACCTGCAAAGAGGATCTACATGTAGGTGTGGCACTTCAGGACATGGTTTAGTAGTGGAATTGGCAGTGTTAGGTTTATGGTTGGACTCGATGATCTTAAAGGTCTTTTCCAACCTAAGTGATTCTATGGTTCTATGATCTGCCTGAACTCAACCTGCAAAGGTTGACTTTATGAGTGACTTTGTGACTTTATGACTTTATGGGTTTTTTTGATGGACAAGTGCAAAACAGCAAACAGCAGAGACCAAAATGACCCACAACTCTTAAAGAAAGCACCTGAATAACCCTAAGAATTAGACTGACGGTGTAAGTCCACAAGCTTTTTGCACTTAGCTCTGCAGTAGTTGCTCTAATACTTTTTATATCCTTTTCCGTAAAGCAGTTCTATTCCAGTAGTCTGGCACTCATGAATATAACACTACAATAATAAATCTCCTAGCACTGAACAACACAGAGAAAAAGGAAACAGAGTTTTAGGCTCATGGGGAATTATGGTAGATAAATAGGGCAAAAATAACTCAACGAACTCTGAAAAAATCTTGAGGTTTTTTAAAACCAATAGTGCACAACAAATGGAATAAAAGATGCAAAGCTGAAGACACCAAACATCAGAGTTGGTATCTGTTAACACTAGTCTTGCAGCCCAGGGTCTAAGGGACACTCCGAGCCACTCCTGCACAAGTGTAAGCAATGGGACAGTGGGAAGTGAGGTAATATGATGAAGGGCTGCTGGAGGGCAAGTGAAATAGGTCCCAGCATTTGGGTTGCCTAGGAGCCCAAACTGACAGCCCATGAACAGCTGAATTTTTTAAGACTACATTATCACTTTGCTTGTGTTTCAAAATTTGTAATTCATTGAGATATTACAGAACGTACCCAAGAATATCACATAATCTTCAGTTTTCAGGTATGTAAAGCTATTTCATGAACGAACTGCTCTACACTTACTCCAAATTTACCTAAGTTGTTATTATTCACCATGGAAGTATTTCCAGTGGCTAGTTCTCCCCATCTACAGCTATCAGTCAAGGTGACATAGGAAGTGTTGAAACAGCAGATCTTGTTAGAACATTATTATTAAGAGAGAAGTTAATAATTCTGCAAGTTAACTTTATGATCAATTAATCACAGAATGTGATGAATGCTGGAGGCATTCTATTCCAGATGCATATCCTAATTTACCTGCACTAAAGCACACCCCAGCAAGACACCTTTGTGGTTGAAATATAAAGCAATAAAACGCTGAGCTAAAAGAAACTCGCTTTTGAACTATCAGGAATTCAGGCTATGAAATAAAATCTTTTGCATTTAGCGGGTGTTATGCAATGCAGTGTCACACTTACCTCCATGGGAAATGCCTTAAAATTAACTGTGTGTTCAGAACCACGCTGGTTTTCTCTCCCCCAGTGAAATCGAACATCGTGTAGTTCAAACTCGTGTCCTCGAGGTAATGGCCCCCCTATTAACACTGGGAAAGAAGAGAAATGGTAAGGAACTTGGCTTTCGAAGCAGACAAGCCTCTAAATATATTCTCCAAATACAATGGGGAGATTGTTGCAAGCTACTTTATTATCAGCGGTACTAGAGAGGAGAAGAGTAAAGTTGACAGACTTGACATCTTTACTTTTGAAGTACCGTGCAGGTACAGAATGCGAATTCAGGCAGTTACGAACAACAGTGAAATTGCTGTCATGCTGCACTCTTTGTTTTATGAGGCAGAACAGCTGGTCATAACACAAAATAAAAACATTGTACCTTTATCAGTCAGAAGAGCGAATATGTTTATTGCTCTTATCAAGACAGTAGCTGTGTGCTCTAAACAGATGGCAGGGGTTCTGAATTGAACTGGTAACTGCTTCCAGCTTGTCCGAATGCTTAATCTCCATCACCTATACTTGCTATGAGTCACAGAAATGGATAGAAAACTTTTGATTGCCAACATTTTGCTAGGTAAAGGTGTTCAGTCATATACCACCTGTCAGGCTCCTGAGATACAGAGTGACTCCATATCCAAATATAATCAAACCTACACACAGGAGCAAAAACATACCTCATTTACTTAAAAACAGCTTCTAGACAGCCATGGCTTTTTTTTACTTCAGTTTTTTAAACATCCGGAATGTCTTAAAAGCATCTGTCCACAATTGCAACACATAAAAAAAAAATGATATAGTTGCTCTATACTTTCGCATTAATAGAGGCTTCCACTGTAAGTAGTAAAAGCAAGAGATTGTACCTTGTGAGGCCTAATCTACTTTGTAATTAATCAATGGAAACATTTTGCCAGGGATTTCTGAATCTGTTTCAGATCAAATATTACCCCACAAGCTGTAGGTAACTTGCCACTGAAATAATTGAATATTGGCTTCTAGGCAGGGCTGGATTTTACTTGAGGGCATTCACAGTCTTCCCCAGAATCCACTAAATTCTAGCTTACGTTTCATATACTTTGAATGAATCTTTTAAAATCTCTGATGATTGATAAGGATTATTTAATTGCATAACCTACAGCTTTAGGGAATTAAAGTTCCATAATATAAAGTTACCTTGACACACAAACTAAATGGCCTTAGTTTGTAGCATAAGACATAGTGTAATACTAAAACATAATTTAGCAATTGAATCATATTGCAACTGTACAAACGCAAAAGTACAGAACTATAAAAAACCTGAAAGAAAACTGATCAATTATGGTTTTTATAAGCAATTACACTGGAGAAAAAAGTAAAATATTCCAATTAATCCTCCTTTAATAATTCTTCATAACTTACCTAACATTAGGGTTTCTAAAATGAAATGTCCTAAATGTAGTTATAGATTCAGACTTGCTTCTTAAACTTGTTTTATCTATAGTCTATCTGTATCTATATCCTATAGGGAAAATCTACAAATCTGGTGAACATTGCAGTACTTAGGGAAATCTGGACAAATAAAAAGAAACATGATACTCAATTAGTGCTCTTTCTTAGGAAAATGGAGCATTTTCTCTGTTTTAAAATATTACTCCTAGAGAAAGTGTAACTAGAATAAATGTTCTCTATATGATGTAGTTCTGGATCTCCAGGAGCTTCAAAGAGTTTATTTCTGAGGCTTAAGTTATAACATTGATCCCGCGATAAAAGTATTTCAATGCATGAAGCATGTTTATCTTTCCTTTGCCTTTCATCAAATCTTGATCCTTGTCAATGCCTGAAACATGTTTAACTTCACTTTGCCTTTCAGCAATTTTTGATCCTCATTAGAAAATTATTCTGAAACCAACATCCACTGCTGGCTTGAGAGAAGTCTCTCTGTTAGTAGGATATCCTCTAAAGCATTTTTCAATATACAATTCCATTACACAGTTGGTCATGCTTCTTCCACCTAATGCATAACACATGTACGATGATCAAACTGGAAGCAGCTTGTGAAAATGTTTGCAATTAAATAATGAGAAGGATTTGGGAATTCCAGATGGACTGCGTATCCTGAATTAAAGAATAAAATCAATCACCAGTAATGACAAATTGATTTTTAATATGTATCTTAATCAGTTTACTTTTTTTCCACAAAGAAGTTTTCCTTTCACTGTTAACATTACAGTACATGAGGATCTCTTGCACATTAATTGGACAGAGTTTGAAAAGCATTTAGTGCTCAACAGTTCCCATTAAAATATTCTGGCTAAATGGATTTGTCATCAGAGATCCCCTGTGAGGAAAAGAAGCTGCAGGAGTTTCTGCAATCCCTGAAAATTGGCCAGAATACTAGGTCAAATACAGCTTATTAACTCTCTTCTCCTCTTGGTAGGGATAACAAACGTCACCTTCCCCCTCCCAAAAATGCAAAAATTATCCCCAGTTTATAAATGGAGAATGGGAAATTATGTAACATGAAATCTAAGGAAAAGCTGAAACTAAAACAAGATTTCCTAAATCATAATTCCATACCTCAGTCATAAACTTTTATTCCATTTCACATTTTCTTATATTTCAAGACTCATCAGTCTGGCATCACACTGCATTCGAGTTTAGAAAGAAGTCTTTCCTTCTATGTCTCCCAACAGTTTTGCACATGCATTTAGGTGTGTTGGTCCCATCTCGTTAATTATTGCTACTAAGTTACAAACTGCCCTTGGGAAGGGTAGAGTTGAAGGAGTTGCATTTTGGCATGCAAGTGATGACGTTTGTGGTCACTCTCACTTCCTCCACAGGAGAATTCAAGAACCTTCCTGATCCTGCAGAGAGAACCTTACTCCTTGGGAAAAGAGCTCTGCTTCTGATGAAGGCACTAAAACTGACTGGAAGCACAAAATTTCTATTCTATTGCAAATCTGCAAAATTCTGTGGAAAGAAATGTTCTGTGTTGCAATAATACATGGAATTTATCATGGAAAGGAAATTATAAAGGCAAGCATCATTACTAAAATAACAAACCCTTCCTTTCTAAAAAATCAGTGTAAAACTGAACTGAATCCCTCACTCTGATCACAGCTGTAGCTCCTAGGACTACTGGGATCTCAGAAGGAAACAAAAGTTGGAATGTCTCACGGTTTGACAATGTTCAGCTGTTTAAATGCCCCCAAAAGGCTGTTACTAGCTATGATTGGTTAGAACAACCTGGATGCTCTTCCAAACACATGGTAAGAACCACCACAGTGCCGGAAAGCGCAATGGCCTTTTTCCCCCCCTACCTTCTTGACAGTTGTCTCTTTCATAGAGAAGAGTTTATCCAGATGAAAGGTCTGAACAAGATACTGTAATTTCACTTAAGCTGGCAACGTTTCTTTTACTATTTGCTTCTAATTCTTATTTGATGAGTGACACCAAAAAAAACTTTTAAGAAATGAGGACTGCTTTGCTACCTGCTCTTCATCAATATTGTAAGCGTGTATCACTGGAGCATCCATCTTAACCTACCCAATTCTGTAGTTAGTATTCAGAACCCACTCAAATTAAGCGAAAAAGCTCTCTTAACTTACATGGTCTTCGGACCAAGGACAAATTTTGCTAGCTGTGCAAGATAGTTTGGCATCACACTGTCTTAGCAATAGTCTGGACTGCTTCTGAATGCAGAGAGCTGTTAACGCCAGTAAATTAGATGACACCACCACATGAGGAAATTCTGGACATGCTCTGAAGCAATCTGACCGACCATCCAGTTTGGCATTGAAACTCGCAGGTCCTACCGGCAAAACTTGCTCCTTTTTCCTACCGAAGTCAACTGGAACACTCTTACCGGCCGCAGTCCGTGCCGAATGAGCACAACCGCTCGCTGCTGGGGGCAGCTGCTGCTCCTACGCTGCGGGACACGCACGTACAGCGAGTCTGAGGGCAACACAAGCTTCAGCGGGGAAAGCGAAGGCCAGTGTTTCAGCATACCTGATTTTGACTTCAGGGCAATCTGAATTGAATGCCCGTCGTTGATCACTTCACAGTCACGACACACTACGTAGTTGGGCGACAAACGCACTTCCAGGAGCGAGGGGTCGTATTTCGCTTCTCTCGAGTTCAAGTTAATAGGCGACTGGTACTCCCCGTTAGCATCAGGAAAAAGCAGCCCCCACTCCACTCCTGCGACACAAGGGAAAGCCGTGACGGGGAGACCCGGCACCCTGCGCG